TTCGCCGCGAGAAAACAGCGAGAAGGAATAGCTCACATTTTCCTTTGCTTTTCGTGGAAGTCTCGCTCGCTCTCGTTTCCACTACTGGATGGGGCTGTCTCATCTACATTGTTGCAATTTTGTGGGCTATCTTTTGTTGCGAGGGTTTCGTTATCAACGGCTTTGTCGTTTGCTTGTTCATCTTCCGAGGATGATGAGTCATCGTCATCGAGTTCTAATGGAACGAGCATATTGATTGATCGTCGAATGGTTTCTCGGTTAGCAGTACGGAGTGCAACTTCGCGTACTTCCCCATCAGGATCTTCTTTGAGTTCAGTCACTAAGCCCATGGGCCAGTGCCCGCGATCAGTATTCGCTTCCATGATAAGAACGACTTCTCCTACACGCGGTCTTGTTCGTGTGAATTGGTTTTGCTTTATCCTTATTTGATGTAGGTTGCGTAGTTCAAGGAGATATTGCTCCGTCCACGCTTTCCAAAGTCGTGACAAATGTTTAATCGTATCGTTCAAACGATTTATTGCTGCTTGTTTCGTTGTGATCGTTGGGATGTATGATGGGTCGCTTCCCATTTCCTCCATGTCTCCTGCTAGCGGGAGGAGTGCAGAAGGTTGAGCATTTGGAATTAAAAAATCGATTGGGCGAAGAATCATGGAGTCTTCAAGTGAGCTGCCAGCGTAGGCTAAAGGTCTCGAGTTGACCATTCCTTCTGTTTCGATTATGAGTGTATAGAATTCTTCACAAGAAAGCGTCTTTCTGCCTATGACTTTCTTCAGGCATGATTTGAATGTACCTATCATTCGTTCATAAAACCCTCCTTTCCAAGGGGATAAGGGAGTTATGAATTTCCATGCGATCGACTCATTGGCGAGAAAGTTTTCTAGGGAGTTAGTGTCGAAAATGTTCTGTAAGGTTTCGGATTCATTTTGGCTGATTAGTTGTTGGCCCAACTTGAAGTTTGTCGCGTTGTCTGAAATAATTTCTCTCGGTCGACCGCGTCTTGCAGCGAAACGACGCAGACAGTTTATGAAGCACTCGCCACTCACTGAAGTTAGTACTTCTAGATGAATGGCTCTTGTGCTCATACATGTGAACAAGCACACCCATCTTTTTTGATGATTGTCTTGATCTCGAACTAGGAAGGGTCCTGCCAGGTCTACACCTATATTCTCGAAGACTCGCGATGGTGTTGTCCTACTGTTTGGAAGTGACGGAGAGTTTGGATATCGGTAAGCTCTAGCATTCCATTTTTTGCAAGTCGAGCAGGATTTTAGTACTTTACGAACTATGCGTCGACCCGTTGGTATCCAGTATTTTAATCGAAGGTTCGCTAAAGTGGAATTAACTCCTTGATGTCCTAATCGTTGATGAACATCCAGGATTATCAAACGTGTGTATTCATGATCGGAAGGTAAGAGTATGGGATTTATAGTTTGAAATGGCAGATGGGAATTCTGAAGTCTTCCATAGCATCGCAATATGCCTTCGGAGTCGTTTAGGACGTTGAGATGTTGATGTTTCGGTGTTGGCACTACTGTGCCCTGTGCAAGCTTTATGCATAACTTCTCAGCGGCTATTACTTCCTGCGAAAGGATTTGAGTAGCAGGACGTAGCTGTAACATTTCTTGAAGCTCTGGTATAGCTTTCGTTATTTTGTCGCGACTTTCTTGTCTTAGTTTGCTGACAACTTTGGTCTTGATGAATTTGAGAACTAGTACCATAATGCGATGACATTTAGAAAAAGAGAATGTTCGTAAATATGGCCAGTTGATTGTTGGTTCATTTGTGTTGCACGAAGCAACATGTGTAGTCGAGAGTAGCGTAGCTGGATTCGAATCACAACTGTCATTACTGGTGTCAGACAATTGAAAGTTCATTGATCGAGGCCACGCTTCTTCGTCTCGTACTAGGAACTTTGCGCCGTTCCACCACATGTGTTCATGTAACTCTTCCTTCGTTAATCCTCGAGTAGCACAATCGGCTGGGTTCTCATTGGATGATATGTAATGAAAGGCACAGTGCATATGTTGTGCAATGAAGGACGCATTTATACGTCGTATTTTGAGAACACGATTTTGAATGAAAACGCCTTTGGGTTTGTCTGACTGAATCCAATTTAGTGCTATTTGCGAATCGCTATATATATTGATCTTGTCAATTTTCAAGTCGAGTTCGTCGTATACGAATTTAGTGAGCTGCATGCCAAGCTGCAGCGCAACTAATTCCAATCGAGGAATTGTAATAACGGGGTCTGACTTGAGCTGTTTCACTGGGGTGAGCCGATGGCGCGCTATCACTAGTCGACACCGGATTTGATTGTCGGATGTATGACTGCGTAGGTAGACGCATACTGCAATGGAGTGGGAGGATGCATCGACAAATGTATGTAGCTGATAATTTGTTGTGAAACGCGGAGAATCAAAAAGTTGTCTAGGAATAACTTTGGTAAAACCAGTTGCACGACTACAAATGGATTGCCACTTCTCAGTATCTTCACGTTGTAGAGGGGTATCCCAACTGTAGTCCTTCTGCCACAGTTCTTGGAGAAACACCTTAGCTGGAGTCAAAAGGGGGATTAAAAGCCCAAGTGGATCGAATGTTGCATGAATATGTTTTAGTACATTTCGTTTCGTGGGTTGTTCGGTGTGTGTTAGGATAAGTTTGAGAACAAATTCGTCTCGTTCCGAAGTCCACTGCAGCCCAAGTATCTTTTGTGATGGATGCTTTGATAGGTCTGCGCAATCGATTGTTTCGTTGCATGATTTATCGTTCGTCATGTATTCTCTGAGATTCATCGACATGTCTCGGAAGAGCCGTTTGCTTGATCGGTATTTATGCACAAGATCAGATGAATTCTGAGCGGTAAGGAATACGTTATCTACGTAGAGGTTGCGCTGGATCTCTTGGCAGAGACGTTGCTCCTTTTGCTGATTGAGGGCATATTTGATGGACATACCTAACAAGTATGGTGATGAGTTAATGCCGAAGGCTAGTCGCTTAAATCGAAGGATCCGTAGGTTGTCTGGAGAAGGTGGCAAATTTACGTCTTTGAGCCACAAAAATCGTACCGCGTCTCGTTCGCATTCCTGGAGATATATCATATGAAACGCCTTTTCCACATCGGCTGTGAGGAATTTAGATCCTATTCTGCAGCGTATCAATACGCCGCAAAGATGTGGGAGCAGGAAGGGGCCTTGATGTACTAGACGTCGTTTTGACGACTAAAGTTTCCCACATGTCGTTTTGAAATTGAGCGACAGTCCGAAGACTATTGGCACTTCCTTTGTCGTGTCGATCTACCCAGTTTGAAAGACGGCCTGAGTGTGGCATGTCAAGTCACCTTGGTGATCGGCATTTTGAGATGGGTGACCTCACTTTACAACACTGTCTGACTGCAAAGTGGTCTTTCTATTATGCTACAATATCATGTATCCGCCAGCTTCTTCCGGTTTGCATTAATGCTCCTATAGACCGTAACGTTTGATCGTAAATCCCGCCTAATGCGCTTCCGTCAAGATTGTCGGGCCAAGCATGGTCTCTGTGTTGCAGTATTTCCCACTGGGAATCTGCACCAAAATTGATTAGTGGTCGCGTATTGTGAACGTCTCGTAACCAACTGTTTTATTCGATCCCTCTTATGCGATCTGAAGGGTTGTCACAAATGCCGACAGATTCAAGTTTCATCATGTCGGAGAGATCGGATTCCATTGAGCTACACGAACCATGTGCTACCAAGAGCGTTGTGTTATCTTTATGGATCGTGAAGTCAACGAGATTAGTCGTTGTGCCTGAGATGACAGGACCAAAAAATGTATCTTGCAGGTAGAGACCTGATGGAAGTTGAACGGCTGGCTGAAATGAATTAACTATGGTGTTGAAATAGTCAATTCCTAGTAAAACCTCTGGAGAGATATCTCCTTGATGTATGTCGAGGTTCGTTAAGGAGAGTTCGTGTCGTATGTATGATAGATCGTTAGGTGAAAGGGCTTGCAACGAAAATGATGCAGTGAGGATAGATTTCGTGAAAAGTTGAACTTCAATAAAATCGCCTTCATCGTTGAACAATGGTACAGTCACCACTCTTGTGTTGATTTTTTCTGCTCTACCTCCGAATGTGGATACTCTAAGGATCTGATCGCGATGAGTGTTGAGGTGTAGGCGTTGAACCGCCGCGTGAGCAATGAAGGAAGAATCAGCTGCTGAATCGAGAAGCGCAATGGTCTTCTCGAACGCGCCAGTACATTCATTTCGAATGAGTACAGCAACAGTCATAAGCCTTGTGGTGAGATGGTGAACGTGGTCGTCAATTTCATCCGATTTTTGAGATTGAAGTACAGTTTTTTGTTCGTTCGATTCGACTTTGGTAAATGGTGTGGCTGTCGCACAGTTAATGAAACTGACTCGTCTTGCCTGGTTGGAGTGGGATCGTGAGGAAGATTTAGACGTTCGTGGTGATGATCTCGAACTTTGTCTATTCTGAGAAGGAGAATGTGTCGGAAGAGGAGAGCTGGCTCTTCCGAAGGACGCCGTTCTGGTATTGGTTTCGCGCCTTTCGCGTGAGTCAAATGAATTTGGTGAATGGGATCTGGAACGTGGAGTGGAGTATGTGGACTGATCGCGACCGGAAGCAGAGCTATCTACCCTACTGTAGTCACGGTTGATGCGAGGAAGAGAGCGAGAACGCACTCGCTCGCTGGTGGATGAGTGGGAGAGTCTTCGTTGGTAAGAATTTTGATCTCTCAATTGTGAGCGTGCTTTGAAGCACAGAAGAGGGTGA